AGTTAGCTACAGGCATACAGACATAGATCAACCAAATCCTGGAACATAAATTTGGGTGAGGTAATAGTGAGGAATGGTTCTTAAAGATGTTGGGGATCTTTTTTAAAAAAAAATTAGATGATTTTATGACAGTCTACATATGTTAAGATGTTAAGATATTTGGATTAGTGTACTGTAAGTTTTTCCTCACTATCTGCCAGTGAGAAATTTTATAAGTGCTTTCTCCAAAATATGTCTACCACTGATTTTTTCCTACCCCTAAAATACATTTTAAGAAAGTTTTTTTTTTTTTTTTAAGGTTGAGAAAAAGTTGCAAAATGATGGCTATCGTTGGGTGTGTGTACTAAAATGATAAAAAGCTAAAATAATAAAGAAAACTTTCACAGAGAATGCCATCAAATAAACATAAAATTAAATACCAGAAAATTTTTAAGATATTTCTAGCAGCATCCTTTCTTTGGGGAATTCAAAGTTAATTTCCTTAACCTGCTTAAAAAAAAAAAAACACCTTCAGACATTCTAATGGTATAATCTTTTAGACTTCTGTTAGAAAAATCTTTAAGAGGATACACTAAAAACTTAAATAAATTTTAAACCAACATTAACAACACAACGTATATTTTAAGTCTTTCATGAAGGAAATTAAAGGAAATTGCAGAATATTAATAAACTAAAAAAATGCTGCAATCTCTTAAACCACTGGGAATTCATTTTCTTCACAGCAACGTGCTTTTCAACATTCAAATTATATTCACTCTTGCTAACGAAAATAACTTGCCACAGCAGAAAAAATAATGAAAATATCAATTCTGTATAACATATTATACTTATCAATATAATGGGAAGGTATATTCTAGATATAGCTGACAGATAGTAGAAAGAGAGAAGGGTACAACCAACTCAAAAGCTAAATTCAAGCAGTATTTGAGTACAGGTCCAAGAATGTGTATTTCAATAATCAAAAAATGCAAAAGGTTGAACCTAAACCCCATAGATGCTTTACGGGGAAAATGCATTTTTTAAAAAAGTTTAGACAAATTTAGTTTTGAGTAAATTTAACCATTCAAATTGTACTTGACAAATTGGAAGAATGAACAAAAATACAAGTCAATTTAGAGAGACTAAACAAAGTTCACAATTACAAAATGAAATAGTAAAAGTGAATCCAGCTGTGAATCATTAAAATATAATGTTGTATTAAAGAGGAAATTGAAGTGATGTCAGTGTACTTTTAGAGCACAGATATACTGTTAAGTAGCCTGGTAGGCAAATATCTGTATAGATAAATAAAAATTCCTAATCACTCCAATTATAAAATTGAGATTATACTCCTAAAAACAATAAGGCCAATACTTAATACTACATTTGAGGAAACAGCAAATGACCAAGGCAACTGTTTAAAGAAAAACTAGCTTTCATGAATATTACTACTGAAAATATATCACTGTACACCCATAAATTTACTTTATAATTTTAATACTAAAAGTGTTGCAACGTAAGAAATCTAAATCTTCTCTAAAAACTCTCTCCAGCTTCTCAATATTCTACTACTAACCTCTTCATTAGGTCATACTATTTCTTCACATTTCACCACAGCTAGGCACTTTTTTGTCTTGTTTGTTTCGTCTGGGAAGTTTAGGGCAGGGAATGGATAAATACACACAGCAGAGCAAAATGGTATATTAAAAAATACTTGGAAGTAAGCAAGTGGAAGCACTCATTTATTTTACAGGCAATAATATCTTCAAGAAAACAATATTCTATAAGGAAGAGTATCCTACAATATGAGTATTTCTGTTATTCAATAATAATAAATTTTCACATAACCAAAGCTGGGCTAAAAAAAAAAAGTGATGGCATTTTTAGACAACCCTTCTAACTATGCTCAGTCAAGATGTTAAAAATGTTACAGGGCCCACTTTGAAGTTCTGAAAATCAAATGAGGAAGCTAAAAGTCTAGAATAACTCCATAAGAAAGCAATGAAAATGACCTAAGACTCATGAAAAAAAAAATAATGTTCCAAGAACGTAAATTATTTTATTTAATAAAGACTATAGAATTGTTAGGACTTTAGTTCAAGTATACTAAGAGATACATAGCTGGACCTAAGAAAATGTTTATTCCACCTAAGGAAGGAACAAAACTAAACTGCAACATTTAAAATTTGAATTAGGCATAAGATCATTTGCAGACCATGAGCACTGGAACATGTTTTTTTTTTAAAGTTTCAAGCACAGGGATTACCTTTACAGAATCTTTAAGAATATAAAGAGGAATCTTTCTAGGTTGGATTTATTAGAACCCTATGAATTAAGAGCTACATAAATAAAGTTGCTTTTGAAGTCAGTGCTAATATTAAAATCTCATTAGGCCTATTTTAAGATATAGGCTTTCTTTTATCAAAAAGTAGTACGAATTTTGGCACCGGTTAGAATAGAACATTTTGGGTCCATTCATTTATGAATAAGACAACTACCATTCATCACAAAGTTCAAGAAAAAATAGCTTGAATGTGCCAATAATTAATATTCAGCAACTGTAATATAATTGATACTATTTCTGAATTAAACTGACTTACAATTTTGTCTATTAGCAATCATGTTGAGAAAACTTCTTAGTGACCTGTGTGCTTAATCTCATTCTCTTCTTACAAGTCAATGGTCTCTTTCCAATTTAATTCAGAGAGGCAGAAAATACATGATGTTCACCATTCTATCAGTATTACAACTAATAACTGATTTAACATGACACAAAAACAAACAAGGGCGATGAGGCAGACCCAGATAGAAATCCAAAAAAGTCACACATAAAATCCCTTTTATGTAATTAAGTTTTATATCCTTCACGTCTTCTGTTAAAATAAAAATGGTAAATAATTTCTCTGACTATATTCACTATACTGTTAAATGCTCTACGAATCTCAATCAAACCATGCAGTTATTTTCACATACTTAAATATACTTTTCATAAAGTATAATTCTAATAGCTATGCAAAGAGACTTGTTTTGTGTGTTTGAAATTTTGCTTGTACAAAGGAAATATAACTTGACATTACAGATTACATGTACATATAATGTTCACCTTTTTTCTACTGTTATGTTGTGCCACATATAACTATTTCCTCCCTATTTTAGGTTTCTAGAAAATCACAAGAGTTTATCTTATTTTTTTTTTAAGCAAAACCACTGCAATATAAGAAATGCAAAGAAATGAAACTCCAAGAACAGCTTATTCAGGCACAACCATTTCATAAATCTCTTCATATCATAATGTAATTAAAGGCCTATTTCCACCCCAAGTATAAATTATATAAAAATAATATCCCAAAATATGAGTCAGGCAATTCTGAACATTATAAATAGTTCACAATTAACATACGTCTATGTTTCCTTTGATTGCTGTATTTATTCTAATATACACTGAAGTATATTGGTAATATTTTAACAACCTAAGTATAAAGTATTAATTGTACTTATATTTAAGTTGAATTAAAAATTATTCCCTTAAAAATCCTCACATTCTTTTTTATACTTAAAAGTGAACTTTTAGATGATCTTTTTAAATTGATTGTCCTCTCTCACCTACAGGGATGTTTCATCAGGTTTCTAGTCTCCTCTTTCAAACTTAGTAATTTAATCACAATTATTTCACTTAATTTTAGATAACAGTGGAATGGCGTGTATCCTCAGGAAGTATTTAACTGGACAGACGACTGAATATGAGTCTAGTTAGGCAATAAAAATAAAAGGAAAGAAGGAAGGAAAGAAGTTAAGCAGGCAAGAGAAAAGAGGTCTTTAAAAAGCTCTAAAGCTGATATTAAATTGGCCCTAATGATCACAGTGTATATAATTTTGTACCCACTCTTTTAATATAGATACAAATAAATCAAATTTGTAAGTTAAAAAAGCTCTAAAACTGATACGAAATTGTATGACCCTAATGATCAGTGTGTATAATTTTACACCCACTCTTTTAATATAGATAAAAATAAATCAAAATTGTAAATTAATTGTGTTTAACAACATCAAACACTACATTTAAAAAATCCAGTACACTGGAAATGTACTGATCCATAACTCATAGTGACAGAAAAGATAAACAGGCCCCTTGACAACATAAAACATTTCCCAAGGTATGCCACAATGCAAACTTGAAGACAAAAATAACTGAAAGCTCATCTTTACTTCAGTTTTGACCTCTAACACAGACTTGCTATTAAACATATCCCTCTTGCCTCCGCTGCTGCCTAAACAAACTATTTAAGTTAGGAGAGCCTGCAAAGATGTGCCTTACAGGCAAACTTTTGTTTTCTAAAAGTAAATCTCTCCCAATACTTCCAGTTGGAAAACGTCCACTTCAGCTGCTTGACAACAGGACGTCACTTTCTCCCTTGGGCTTACCTGCTACTACTTAAGTGTTCTTCCAAGTAGACTTTGGACATGTTGGGAGGTAGCTCTTTAAGCACTCCTGATCTATGATGACTACATATGCACACACTTTACACACTCCCACAGGTCCTTCGTACCCTTTCCCCCTCCATCCTCCTCTGAGAGCTCACCCAGGCCACCTAGCGCACCTTGCATGGCCAAAGCCTGCCCACTAGGGAGCGAAGAGTACTTCAGGAATAATCCTCAAGATCAAGAAACTTACTGGATTTTAACATGTAATGGGAAAAAAAAAAAAAAGGTGTGTGGGCGGGGGGGAAGGGGGTGGTAGATGGGAGAACATGAGCCTTACAGATAGCAGCTGTCCATTAAGTGGTTTAAATCTGTTGGTTAAAAAGCTGAATAAACAAATACACAGATGGGTCTAGGTCTTTGGGGATTCCGGATTCTGCGCAGCCTCCCAAGCGATGGCCAGGTCGACTTCTCTTGACCCATCCCTATGCAAAACGCGCACTGGCTCCACTTTCCAATCCCCAGACTTGCACCCGTCCTTCCCCTCATGTTCTTCCTAATCAAAGCGTCACCCCACGCGCCAGGTGCCTTAAGAGACTTACCTAAGAGATTCCAGAGTCTGAGAATAGTGAGGATAACTTTTCCTCTCTGCTCTAGAGAGGCCCCAACACCCACAGCAAGTGAGGGTCCGCACTGAGGTCGGGTGTCAGGGCGTGTTGCGGCCTCGCTGGTGGGCAGAGGCGCGCGAAAAACGCGCGGGCGGCGCGCGCGGCCACCCAGTGGGTCCCGCCCGCGCCGCCGCCGCCGCACGTGCGCCGCCGCGAGCGCGAAGGGCGTTCGGTCCCGCGCTGTGCCCGCCTGCCCTCCAGGGCCACTGTGGACTTCCAGGTAACAGCCAAGTGAGAAACCCTCCCTATCTCCGAAAGGTGTCTGCGCTCCTCCCACGTCCCCTCCCCGAAGTGCCGCGAGGTGCGATTTCACCCCAAACCCACCCACAAACAGCCAGGAGACCTCTCCAAAGCAAAATAAAAGTAAAACCAGGCCAGACCCCGGGGGAAGCGGGTCGTGCTAACGCGTGGACAGGGAAAGGAGCGCGATCAGGGGCAGCAGTTATCCCCATGCATGGTTATCCCGAAGCGTCAGAAGGGCCCAAGAGTTTCTTGACTCCAGAAACAGAAGTGTCCCCTTTCCGTCTCTCTCCTTCCCGGAGAAGTACTTCTGAGATAAACGCTGAAGTGCCCAACTTAGACGCGAGAAGCGTGCACTTGCCCAACTGAGTAAATAAAGGTCAGCACTGGGATCAATAAAGTGTGAGCTTCTAACCGCCAGATGTTTTTACTGTTGTTTCTCCTCCCGAGGTTGGGTGGGGGAGGGTGCGGGGAAGAAGGGGAAAAGACAACAAACAATTAAAAAGAAGAGAGTAAACAAACACACATCTGGTGTTTCGACACACATTCTCCTCCAGCCGCGGTCTCTCCGGACGAAGCAACATTTTGCATATTCCAAACTAAAAATCATCCGTGAGCCAACAGCAAGTCTCCCCACTCCACCCCCTTTTCCCCTATCACAAAGCAAAATTAAAAAGAACAACAAGTGGTGATGCTGGGTCCGGAATGCGACCCCAACGCCGAGCCCAAATTTGACACATGTCACACTCGCCCCGGCAAGCAGGGCGCTGCCTTTGGGGCGAAACTTTGTCGCCACCACGGGAGGAGCGCGGAGCAGAGTAAAGTCGCAGCCCGGCCCGGCGTGGAGGTGGCTGGGACAGGGTGGGGTGCGGAGGTGCAGCGCGCCAGAGTGAGGGCCAAGAAACTTACCGCGACCGGGGACGCCGTGGGCAGCGTCCCAGGAGGTGGCACCGCGGCGGCAAGGCAGAAGCCCCCAAACAACACACCCACGCGCGAGTCCGGGCAGCTGCTGCCGCGAGTGGGGGGCGCGCCCGGGGAGGGGGGGCGAGGAAACCGCAGGCGGCGGACGCGGCCGCCGCATAAATAACCGGGGCGGGCTACGGGTCGCGCGGGGCTAGAGCTGGGGCGAAGCGGTGGCCGCGGAGCTGCACGCGCCGGTGTGTCTCGCGCTTTCTCGGAGGCTCGCGCTGTCTCGCGCAGCCGCTCCCCCCACCCGGATCTGTGTGTGTGTGTGTGTGTGTGTGTGTGTGTGTGTGTGTGTCTGTGTCTGTGTGTCTATGTGTGTGAGTGTGCGCTGGCAGGCGCGCGCACCCGGCCGCGCGCGCGTGTTGTTGGCAATGCGAACTGTACACACACTGCGCACGGGGCTGCCTCTCTTCGGAGGGGCCGGGTGGGGGACAGGATGCCGCAGAGGATTCTGAAGTACTGCCGGGCCACTTGTTTGTTTTGTTTTACTTTGCGTTGTTACTGTCGTTGATACAAAAAAGAGGTTTGGAACCAGCTGGTTAGGATGCCTTTCTCCCCCCGTCCACTTATCTCCCCCCGTTCCCTAACTTCTTTAAGGAGGGGGAAACGCGGAGCAGAATATTGTTCGGATTTGCAGCGGAGCGTCCTGGCTGACGTCAGGTCCACCTGCTATGTAAACAACCCGCTGGAGAACTTGTTTGTGCTGTGCCAGCTCTTCCCCCACCCCCACTCTCTCCCCACCTCCTGCTCCGCCTTCTCCCGCTCGCCCCAGACGGCGAGTCAGGGAAGGGGGTGGGGAGGGAGGCGAGAACAAAACCGTATGCTGTATTGGCAAAACCGAGTTGTGTCTGCTGCTTCTTGGCAGTCCCCAAAGTACGTCCTCTCAGCAGACGGAGCTGCTGGCAAATGAAACAGGGGATTCCACTTGAAGTGCAGAAAGCCTCGAAGGGATCCAAAGCCCTCGGTGGCAGGGAGTTAAAGTACATGGTAGTCGGAAAGGGAGACCCGAGCGTGCGTTAAAGCGCTGATTGGCCTTTCTTTTCATGGTGTGCGCCTCTGCGGCCTGGGGCGGAGAGAGGCCGAGTGTCTTTCTCTTCATTGTTGCCCTGGTTCCTGTCTCACTTGGGCCAAGGAGTTCTCGGGCTTCCTCGTGGTCGCGCAGCCCAGGTCACCGGGGCGCGGCTTGGAAGGAAGGGGCCGCCGAAGTGGGACTTAGAGAGTCCGAGGTTTTCGGGAAGGGTCCTATCAGTGGCTGAGGGACTGAGGGAGCAAAAGTAACCGGAAAGGAAAGAAGAAACGGCCAGAGCCTGCTCCGCGTGCACTTCAAAGCCGAGGCGCCCGCGAGGGGATGCGCGGGCCCAGCCTCCAGCCCTGGGTCCCGGCTCCTATTCGCCGGGTGTGACGCGGCTGGCCGGCCCGCGCGGGACCCGGGGGGGGTGACAGGGGAAAGGCCGAGGGAGGACAGGGCGGGCCCCGGAGGGGACGCGCGACCCGAATCGGGGCGAGGGGCTTCCTCCGGAGCCCCAGCCCAGCCCAGAGAGGGGCCGGCGCTCCCTCCCCGCCGTCTCCCGCCGGTCCCTCCCCTGCCCCGGGGCCGCGCGACCCTTCGCCGACCGCCTTCTCCGCGCGCCGCAGCCTGTGCCCGCTGCTTTGCTCGCAAGTCAGTCGCAAAGCGTGGCGTTCCGAGAGGCGCTGAAACTTTCCTCCAAATAGCTGCGGCCAATAGGCCGTGGTGAACAGAGCCTGGCCCCCGGCTGCTTCCCGGCCCTCCTCCCTGGGGAAAGAACGGCTAACTTGAACCCCTCCGGTGGCAGAAGAGGGAGCGGTGGTGGTTGGGGAGACGGGCGAACCTCACGAACTTGTGCCTTTGAATCTTTCCTTTCCTCAAAGAGCAGCGCGCCCTTTCTCTAAAGGGCAGACGCGAGCTCACACACACACTTGGCACCAACCCTTTCCTTCAGAACCCGCGGCTCTCCTAGGGAGGAAGCAGCCCTGGCACCCAAGTCGGTAAACACACCGTCAGGGTTTTTTTAGTGGAACCAATTAAGTCAATAAGCCATGGGGCTGGCCCTGGGAAGACAGCCCCTGCCAGGAGGAAGAGGAACGAGGTAGAGTTGGGCTTTGAATTGCGGTTCTTTCCTTGAGCTTTTCAACTCCGGCAGTCCTCAAGTGCTGTGCCTCTTTTTTAAATCGTCTTTTTCTGAAATGCAAGCTGAACAGTGGACAAATAATCCGAATCTTTTAAAAGTGGGAGCAGAGAGAGAAGGAGGAGCAGTCATTATCATTAGAAAACGCCAGCCCCAAATGGCCCTACCTCGCCCTTTTGAAAGGTGGGGATAATTTTATGTTAAGTAATCTGCGTTTATGCTTCACTAGGAAACCTCAATAAAAACGGATTCTGAATTAACTTGAAACTATTTTGGAAGAGAGAAGAGTAAACGACGTGGAAATCCTTGGAAAGCTGGGGATGTATCTTTCCAGGGGGTTGTAAATGAAGGGAACAGAACAATCAAAACGTGGACAGCTTCTCACTTCTCTTTCTTCTTCCTTCCCCGCGTACATCGACCCCACTGACTTCCCTTTCTCTCCAGGTGTACCGAGTAAGTGAGCGGGAAAGGTTTATTGTAAAAGAGCTTGGGCCACTTGGAAGATCAAGTTCCCAACGAGGAGAAGGAGGGTTCGGGTCTCTACACTTGGACAGGAACGAGTTTAGTTAGCCTTTCACTTTTCTGTACACAAAGAAACGTTTTGGTGAAATTCGCAGCCTCTAACTTTCCTTTCTGGCGAGTACAGATGACCAAGAGGTGCGAAACGACATCTCAGTCGGAGGTGCATATATTTATAGAGTGGGCGCGTACCTTTCCGGGGCCTCATTCTCAGTGAGACTGAGCCCGCAGCTCCCCAGTGCCGCCGCTCAACTTCGCCCCCACTATCTCCTCCTCGCCTGCTGCCATGCCCCGGTCACCAACCCATCCCGCGGGGAAGCTGTTCAGGGAGTTGGGAAAACAGGTCCTGACAGGAGCCGCTGCCCTCGGTGGACCCCTCGGCTGCAGCCAATGGGCTGGGCCCGGGTTCGAGAGGTGAAAGTTCAGGCCCGGGGCTCGCAGCTCGCTTCGCCTCTCCGGCCGCCTCCTTTTCAGCCCCTGCCTCTGGCTACACTGCAGACACGGCCCGGCTACCAGGGGCCGCCACGGTGGCACGTAGTTTGTTGATGGGTGGTCATAAAATATATTTATTTGCAATTCCTTGAACTCGTCCACCACTCCCGCCCCAGCATGGCCCCGAACACTGCAGGCTTTGTTCGCCTCGGCTGCTGCTGGAACTGGCCGGGGTTTAGCGCTCTGTGCTAGCAGACTCCAAAAAAAGTTGAAGTATAATAATAGGAAAACCGGGTTTCCGCAGCCGAGGAAAATGCTGAAAGGGCAAACAGCGATCGAATAGTTTTCTTTTGCACAAGTCACTGGTCAGCCCACTGGATCAAGGCAGCCTTTAAACGAAACGCTGCATATTGGAAAGAGAAGGAAAGCCAAATTCTGTCCCTGTAGTCGCCGCGCAGGATCATAGCCACTGTTCAGGTCTCCTTTGCAGCACGTGGATCTGCAAAAGTCATTTAAAGAGGTTCCAGAAGAAAGTTCAGTGGGACAACTAGGTGAATGAAGAGTTTCACCAACTGGACATCAAAGCTTCCTCACGAAAGTTTATTTGATTTCAAGTTTATTTTACGACGAAACCACAAATCAACAAAATCTGAGACACTGCTCTAGTACGGTGCTAGTACAAGATAAATTCGTTTGAAATGGTCTCTGTCAGCGCATCTTGCGCGAAATAAAACACCACAAATGAGACTAAGTATAGCCAAGATGAAGGAAAGCGACGTATGCGAATGACAAATTAGAAATGTT